AGAAACGTTCTGTGTTCCTACAAAAATTCCTAAAATCAGGTGCTCATGCGTTTTGTTTCCTCTGCCTGATAGAACAGGCCCATGGGTTGTGGCCCGGGACAACTCAGAGATGCAAACGAAATCCTCTATGTGAAGAGGGAAGGAACGTTTATGGAAGATTCCTGGAGAAGGTTGCACTGAGCCTTGTAGGGTGGGCGCGGCTGGTAATAGATTGTTGGGGAAGGAAGGGTTTTCTGGTAAAGGGAGCCCTCGTTCTTCACAAGGTCAGCAGATAGGAATGTGCAAATGCCACCTTCAGGGTGCCTATGTCCATTTAGAGGGTGAATGAAATACTTCATCTCGTGGCCAGGTGCTAGCACTACCATCTGTTTAGATCATTTTGACATCTTCCCTTAGTGATATGGGGATTAATCTCAACCTGCATTTAATTTGGAGCTGGCCTTGGTGCCCAGGAGAAATTAGTTTTTTTTTTTTAATTTTTTAAAAATCTTCTCATCCTCTTTATTTTTATTATTTTTATTTATTTTTGTGTGTGTGTGTCTGTGGCCAGCTCAGCCCACCAGGGGGCGGGGCTGGCTGGCATGTGGTGCTGGGGGATTGAACCGCGGTCCCAGTGCTTTGCTATGCTTGTTCTAAGTAGGTGCTTTAGACCACTGAGCCATCTCACCAGCCCGAAAAATTAGTTTTGCTTGTGATGATTCTTTCCCCAACTTTCCTTTTTAGGCCCTTTCCTTTCTGTGTCCCTCTGTCCCCATTCCCCTCTGCCACTGTAACCTCCAAACCTATCCCTCTGCTTCCTTCCTATCTCTTACACCTTGCTACCTTGGGATAGGTCTAAAAGAGCTGAGATTCTCTTCTGTTCAAATTCTCTGCTCCCAGACCTCCCAGATACATGGCTTTGCTGAGGACTTTGGACACCATGCCTCTGTCAAATAGGAGAGGCTCTCATGGTGACACTTCATAGCAGGCAGGCTGGCAAGGGAGGTGGTCTGGGAAGCAAGCAGCATGCGCCATTATGCTCCCGGTCCAGGGCTTCAGTCAGGGCCTGCAGTTTTGTCTTTGAGTCAGTTGTGCCCCTCACAATTTTTGCATTCAAGGGCTGCCTGCTGATTTGTTCCTGGTTGAAAAAGCTTCCGGCAAAGCTCACCCCATACCCACTTTCCAGTGTTCTCCCTCCTCAAACCCTTCTGGCAAGCCCCACAATATAACAGTGGGAGGGGAGTGTGTAAAGCAGGGAGATCCTCTTCTTAGCCCCCAAGTCTCCATGAACTGGGTCCCTTTTTCAATCCCAAGAATAGCCAATCTCAGGGATCTCTCCAGACAGGTGACCTGGGACCTTGCCCATCCCACAGCCCCCAACCTGGACAGAGGCTTAGCAAGCCCGAAGACATTTGAAGCCAACCTAGAGCAGCCATTCCAACTTCCTGCTTCAGTCCTGGGTCCTCATGTCAGTCTCCAGGAACTCTGGGCTTAATTCTCCCTCACCCACGCCCTTTGCCAAGATCAGAGTGTGTTGAGCTTATTCTTTTGGCAGGAGGGCTCACTCCCTTTGATGACTATGGCGAATGAGATGGAGCCTGGCCAGGTTGTTATAGGAACTCAGGAGAATCCCTGGAGTGGGAGAAATAATGAGAACACGAGGTCATTCACATTCAGTGTTGGAAAGTAGAGCATGCATTGTCCTGGTCTACAGAGGCTGAGGCAGCGGGAGGAAGCAGGCTTGGCGGGGAGGAGCCTGCCGCGTCTCTAGGAGGCTCTGGGGGTGTTGGGTAGGAGAGAGTGTGCAGAGCAAGGGTCGCACTAAACTCTGGGTTCAAACCCTAAATTGCCCATTTACTATTTATGTGGCTATAAGTAAGTTAAAGCAATCAGCACATCTAATTTTGTTGAACAACAAATGTGTTAAATCTAGCAGGATTATCTTAGTACAGGTGATTTAAAATGACTCTTTGTTTTCCTATTTTCTTCTGACTTTTTAAAAAAGTAGCACAAATTGCTTATATAATGGGAGAAAGGAAACACACACACACACACACACACACACACACACACAAAGCCATATCTACTTTGTAAACAGAATTCAGGAAGAGACTCTTCGAATTAGGGAGCTAATAGCCATAACTTGGAAAGGGAACAGACAGTCATTTTCAGCCTTCAGACCATTCCAGGTAAGAAGATCTGCTTTGGTCCTCACTGCCTGCGGTTCCACCTGGTCTCATTGGTCATCTCTGGCCCCCGGTGCTGCCCGCACAGGCCTGAGGGGTGAGGGGCACAGTTGTTTGTGTGGTTGGCAGTGATTCTGGGTGCTGCCTCACTGTGGGTGGCCGTGTGCTGCAGGGTGCCCTTCCTGTGTGGCCTCCTTCCTTTCTTTCCTTCAGCAAGTTGTGCTGAGGTCTCTATGCTCCTGTCCTAGTCAGCCTTGTCACTCTGGCAAAAGGGCAACCGGGTGGCTTCTCCCCCAGTGCTTACCATCCCTGATGTCTGGGTCTCCCATCATGACTTTAACATAAACTGCCTGTGTCTGTCTTTTGTTAATTCTTTGGGGTATTTGATACATACAAGTTGTGATTAAAAAAAAGTCTATTTAAATTTTTAAAAGATTTATTATAGTATAAGACATAACCGTTGATCCCACTTGGAATACTTGCCCTCAGGCTGAGCACATTTGTCATATCATTCATACCACTTTCTTTTTTAAATTTTCTTTATTTTTATTTCCCATTATTATTTTTTTAAGTATATTTTAGTACAAGGACTACAGGGTCTCACTACACAGATTGGACTCTTAATGATTTTTCTGTTTTTTTCAGCCTCCCAAGCACTGGGATTACAGATGTGTGCCACCACGCCCAGTCTCAGTCTCAGTGTGCCCCAAGGAGCAGGGCTGGCCCAGCATGCCAGGGATTGAACCCCAGCCCCTGCGCTCTACCTAAGCAGGCGCTTTAGTCCGCTGAGCTATTTGGCCGGCCCTCGTACCACTTTCTGAAACAGCTCTGTAAGCCCTTTTTTATCAGAGTCTCTGGTTACACTATTATGGCTGCCTTGATGCTCTGAATCAATTCAAAATGTTTGCCTTTTGTAATCGTTTTGAATTTGGGGAAGAGCCCAAAGCTTCATGGTGCCTGACCTGGTGAACAGGTGGGTGAGTGCTCCCTACAGTGAGTGTATAGGCCTGTCTTTCAGTTTGGTGGCACTGGACAGCAATACCCACTGTATGTTTGATCACACCTCGTAAAGACTTCCGGAAATTTCCAGAAAGTGGCAAGCACAGGGGCTGGTGAGATGGCTCAGTGGTCTAAGGCACCTACTTAGAAAAAGCTTAGCTAAAGCACAGAGACCACGGTTCAATCCCTCAGCACCACATGCCAGCCTGCCCCTCCCCCTGGTGGGCTGAGCTGGCCTCGCGTGCACACACACACATCAATAAAAAAAAAATAAAATAAAATAAATAAATAAAAAAGTGGCAAGCACAAAGCGAGACCTGGGGGCACATGCCTGTTATCACGCAGGATGCTGAGGTGGGAGGATTGCCACAAGTTTCAGGACTGCCTTGGCAGCACAGTGAGTTCAAGGCTAGCCTGAGTTACATAGAGAGACTTACCTCAAAAGAAGAGAAAAAAAGTGTTAAGAACAATGAGACTAATGTGTTTGAAGTGAGGGGGGATTAATAGTAATGTATTTTTTAATGTAATAAATGTTTAAAATTCAAAAAATGTTTAAAATTTAAACATTCACTGTATTTTTGATCACCCTTTGCATATCAAAAAACCTGACTCCTGAGTATAGCTAGCTTGATGAAGTTTTATAGTTGTAAAAATTTTACCAAGGTTTTACTGTAAGGAACTTGGAGGGGGCACTGCCTAAGAAGGGGCCCACACTTTTGGGAGGAACTTTAACTTTAATTGTAATATTGAGGGCTGGCGAGATAGCTCAGTGGACTAAGCACCAGTTTAGGCAAGCACAGGGACCAGGATTCAATCCCTGGTACTGGCCCCACCCTTGGGCACGCTGAGCCTGCAACTGAGTCTAGGTGTAGTGACACATGCCTGTAATCCCAGTGCTGGGGAGGCTGAAAATAGGAGGATCACTATGAGTCTGAGCTTCGTAGTGAGACCCTGTACCAAATTCAATATATATATATATATATATATATATATATATATATATATGAAAGTTTTTATGAAAAAGTATTCACACATACTTCTGCGATTTCTTTTTAGCATCTTAAAAACACTGACAGAGACTTACCTACTAAAGTATACATGGCTGTAATAATAGAGAGAGGGGAAGAAAGGGTAGAGTTGTATGGTGCTTTAAATCTTAAAAACTAAAGGAACAACAATATTGATAGAAGGTATCATTTGTACACCAACAGGCTTGTATAAGAAGGTTTGGTTCAGCATTAGTCACACAGCCCCAAACTGTAGTAACTAATAGGAGAGTGGCTAAGTAAACCACTAACGCATGTTATAATATTGTACTTTGTAAGAAAGTCTGGGCCCTTTCTTCCTCCCTCGCAGGAACCCTGTTATTAGTTTGGTGGGTCTCCTCTGGCCTTTGGATACATTTACACATATAGCTATTCTCCTAGAAAGTGTGTTTTATACGTATGAGTGCATTTTGCTTGTTTGGTAAAACAAATGGCATCAGTGTGTGTGTGTGTGTGTGTGTGTGTGTGTGTGTGTGTTACTGGGATACAATCCAGAGCTCTCACAGACTAGATGCGTGCTCTACCACTGAGCCACACCTGAGCCCTTTACTGTCCAGTAATGTTCACCACAGTATTTTTATACCATTGCTGCCAGACATCTCTCTGTGGAAGAGGATCTAGGTGGTCACCTTCCTATTGTTTTGCGTGTGTCCCGTGAGCTGAGGGCTGAGGCCTTGAACACCATACAGATGGTGGCTTTGATTGATACTAATGTTGCAGTCCCACTGGGGAGCAGTTTTCACGAGCCCTGGATCCGTGCCCCACGCAGTCTCTTTTCTCTCCTCCACAGAGACGTCTCCGAGAGGCTGTGCAGCTGCTGGAGGACTACAAGCATGGGACCCTGCGCCCCGGGGTCACCAATGAACAGGTAACTCAGTTGGAGATGGGTGGAGGCAGGTGTGGAGGGGAAGGAAGGACAGCTTGAAGGATTATGGTTTGGTGGTTGATATGCCCAAGTTGTTTTTTTGTCCATAAGCTTTATTTCAAAATTTAAAAAATTATTATTATTATTATTATTATTATTGCAGTACTGGGGATTGAACTCAGGGCCTTGCACTTGCCAGGCAGGTGTATTTTTCAAAGTATGTATAAAGTGTGTAGATAGTTCCAAAAGCCCAGTAGGACTGAAATGCTCATAAGGGGAAGTAGAATGCAGTCCACGCCTGTCCAGTGCCCTTTGCCACTTCTTAGAAGCAAGCACTTACTGCTGTATCTCAGATAGAAGCCTGTTTATCACACTAATGCACCTAACTATATGGCTATTTCTCAATCAGTTCTTTTGCAGTATCTCCTATGGTAGCTGGAGATTTAGCTCTTTTCCTAAACACCCTTACAAGTACACTTTAGCCCCTTCCCAGAATGGCTACCACAGTTTGAAGATTCATAACTCAGTATTCATGTTATTATAATGATATAAATACTTTTTCCTGCATTGTCAAGTTGGTTGTGTCATAATTATGTTTCTTCTCCTTTTCAGCTTTATGTTTTGCCTGGAGTTTATACTTGTCTCATTTTAGCCGTTGGTGTAGTTTCCTCGGTATCGTCTCTAACTGGTGCTGTGTTCTCCAGTCTTCCTATATTTTTAGAGCCTCATTTCAATTGAAGACTTCTCTTTCTGTTTCATGACCTCCACCCACTGAGATTTTTTTTTTTCTGGGGCGCACTTTTCACCAGTTCTAGGGGTGTGTGTAAGTGTGTGTGTGTGTGTATGTGTGTGTGTGTGTAACAGAGATAGACAGACAGACAGACACAGTCAAACAGAGAGACAGGGAGACAGAGAGACAGAGAGACAGAGAGGGAGAGACTTGCTGTATAGTTCAGGCTGTGCACTGTCACTGTGTACTTTGTAACTCTGGCCTCAAACTTTCGGTCCTCATGCCTCTGGCTCCTGAGTACTGGCTGGGATTACAGGCACACACCACAACTCCCAGCAGATCTTTTTTCTTTTTTCTTGACATATATCATAGCTCTGGCGGAACATTTATTCCAGTAACCTCTGAAAAGCGTAAATGGGAAGAACATTTGAATTCTTTGTATCTGAAAAATTATAATTCTGTACTCAACTTTAATTGGCAGTTTGGGTGAGGACAAAATTAGAGGTTGACAATCATTTTTTCTTTAAAATTTTGAAGACTATGGCTTTATTTTCTTCTGAGCTCCAAGATGGCTTTTAAAAATTTTGATGGTGAATATTTGGTCTCAGCTGCTTTGGAAACTGAGGTAGGCAGCTCATTTGAGTCAGGAGTTCAAGACCAGTCTGGGCACATAATGAGACCCTCTCCTTAAAAAAGCTTATTTGTTTTTATGTGGTAGCACATGTGGATAACCCCAGCACTCAGGAGGCTGAGGCAGTTCCAACCTGGACCCTGTCTCAATAATCAATCAATCAGTCAATCAATAAATAAAATTGTAAAAATCTGATGCCATTTCATTCCAGAGCTTTTGCAGGTAGACTTTTTCTTTTCTTTTTGGAAATATTTATGATCTTTTTACCTGTAAAATTATTTCTGAAAATTCTTCAGTGCTACGTCTTTTGAAATGTGTTTTAGATTCTTAGTGGCCTCTTTCAATCTGAAGACTCCTGTCCTTTAGTTCTGGCACAAATCTTTGTTCTGTTTCTTGGATAATTTCATTTCATTCTGGAAACTCCTATTAATCCAATGTTAAGCATCCCAGGCTGACACTAGAGCATTCTGTCACCTCGCTACAGGCCAGCGTGAGGCTAGGGCTTAGGGAAAAGAGCAGGGAAGAAGCTGGATGGGGCTTTTCATCCGAGATCCCAGAAGCGGCAGTGACAGTAAAGACACACAGCACAGCCGAGAGCAGCGTGAGCAGCACCTCAGCCAGAGGCCAGTGTGTGGGAAGGATTTCTGAGATGCAAGGGAAGGGAAGAGTGCTGGCGGCTGGGGAGCAGCGCAGGGGAGGGCCGGGCAGAGAAGCACCGGTGCTGGATGGTGAGAGCAAGCTCTCACAGACGAGGTGAGGCGGCAGCGTGGCTGGTGGAGGGAGGGCAAGGGCGTGAGTGGATGCAGCACGTTGGCCAGGTGTCCTTTGAGGCCTCAGGGAACCATGAGAAATGGGGCAGGGCTGGTCCCGCAGGCCCATGCTAAGGTGATCGCACTGCGTGCTGGGTCTTAGACAGCATGGCATCATAGGGAAGGAGGCTACAGGCTCATGCCCGAGCAGGGGTCCTGCCTTCTGGCCACTGGCGTTGAAGGGCCCGCATGGCCTGAACTTGATAGCCAGAAGTAGTCTTCAGACCCTCAAGTGTCCTCCTACCTGTTGAAGTGGGTCTCCGCATGCCGCCGAAGCGCTTTCTCACCCCTTGTGTGCTCCTAGCCCCAGCTGCCCTCTGGCTCATTCTTGCTGAGGTTGGCCTCTTGGGACCTCTTTTAGCTCTCAGAGTTTGGGGAATAAGGTCACATTTACCCTATTTGCTTCTTTGAGCGGCTTAAAGCTGCCTGTTCTATTTCCCAGGCCTCTTTGTTTTCTATCCTGAAAGCCCCCGTGCGCCTGAGGGAGTGGGAGGAGGGGACCTGGAGACAGCTTGGCATGAGCTGTGCTTCTCCATTCTGGCTTCTGATGGTGATGCCTGCAAGGTCCATCTGGTGGCTGGGTGGCACAGTGCTGAGGTGTGAGCCTGGAAGCAGATCCTCCCTCTCCCCTCCTCCTCCCTCCTGGGGCTCTGCAGAGGTTGGGGGATTGGGTCTGCATGGCTCTCAGTGTGTCCTTGATTAGGGCCTCTACAGACATGGGGCCAGAGGGGACAGAGATGATATGTTGGCTTTGTTATTGTCTTATCACTGAGACACAATACCCAACACCCACAGTTTAAAGGGGGAAATGTTTATTTTGGCTCATGGTTGGTAGTAATTTCATTCCATAGTTGTCAGGCTCCATGGCAGAATGGCATGGTGGGAGGCCTGGGAGAAGGAAAGTGGCTCACCTCGTAGCATCCAAGGGGCAAAGAGGAAGCAGAGAGTCAAGGGAGAAGCCAGGAAGGGAGATGCATCCAGGCCACACCCACAGCGACCCACCCATTCCAACTTGATTCCATCTCCTAATGGCAAACCGGCTCTTAACCCTCACAATCTAGTCACTTTTCAAAAGCCCCACTTATGATGATATGAGGCTTTGTGGAGGGGGCATCTAGATATAAACCATAAAATTCTACAATTGCCCCCTAAAAGATGCATTCCCTTCTCTTTATGAAAAATGCATTTAATTAATCTCTAAGAGTTGTCACAGTACTAGTAGTTTCAGTACTTCTGAAAAGCTCAATTCCAAAGTCTCTGAGACTTAAGGCAAACTCTTAGCTGGGAGCCCCTGTAAAAATAAAAATAAAGAGCCAATTGTGGTGGCTCATGCCTATAATCCCAGCAGCATCTAAGCTCATGGCAGACCTTGGGATCATCCATGTGGTGCTGGCTGTATGGACATGTAGAATATGAGTTGTGGAGTCAGGAAGTGTTTCACCCAAACTTCAGAAGAAGGCAAGAGGATCACCATAAGTTTGAGGTCAGCCTGGACTACACTGTGGGGTCCTGTCTAAAAAACAAAAAACAACAACAACAACAACAAAAAACAGGAAAAAGAAAGTTAAGCACTGCTGACATACAATTACATAGGGTAAGCATTCTCATTCCAAAAGGAAGGAAAAGGGGGATAGGAAGAGAGGGGATCAAAGCAAAACCAAAATTCAGCAGGACATTAAATCCTTTAGCTCTGTGTCCAGCACTGAGGGCAAGTTGTGGCCATAAGCTGTGAACCACAGAGGACTTGTGTGGTCCCACTGCTATGGAATTGTCAGTGGTAGTATTCCCTATGGCTTTTCTCTTGGGCTGATTTTGCTCCCTTGTGGCTTCCTTCAAATTCCATGCTTTGGCTTTTCCAGCTTTCTCCATTGCACTTTAAGCTTCACTCTCACTGCTTCACACACTGCCCTCTCAGGGGCACTTTGCCTGGCCTCCCTGGCCTTCTTCTTGGGTGGAAGCCTTCCTGACTCCACAACTCATATTCTACGTACCTGTAAAGCCAGCACTATATGGACGATCTCAAGGTCTGCCACCAGCTTGAGCAACAGTCAAGTTCCCTTGTGTCATGGCTACAGAGATCTTTGAGTACCTGAGTGGCTGAGTGCTATGAAGTGAATCCCAGGCAATAATTTCTGGTAGCTGTTGTTCTGTAGCATGATACCCTGTGGCTCTTTTTTCAAAGCAAAGCCTTTAAATCTTGCAAATTTGAGCCTGCAAAGGATGGGACCTTCCTAGTTCCTCACAGCCCAAAAGGCATTTTTTTAATGTTGTCCTGATCTAAAGTATTTGG